GCCAGGCTATTTTAAATAAATCCACTGAGAAATGCCACTCTGGGGAAATGACTCTGAACAACTGTGAACAAAGGGAGTGGGGCTTGCAAAATGAAAATCTATAGGAAGAAAATTCTAGACAAAGGGAATAACAAGTGCAAAGGGCCTGAGGCAGGAATTAATTTATGTACTTGTGGAAGAGCAAGAAGATAGATGTGGTTAGAGTGGAGGGAGAGGAGAGAGTGGTGGGAGACAAGTTTGAAGAGTTAGTAGAGGCCATGTCAGGTAGAACCTTGCAATCTATGGGGGAAATGTTGGATTTCCTGTTGGGAGAGATCAGAAGCCACTGAAGGAGCCAGGTGTGGTGGTGCAGGCCTGTAATCCTGTGACTCAAGAGGCTGAGGCAGGAGGATTCCAAGCTCAAGGGCAGCCTCAGCAATTAGTAAAGCCCTAAGCAATTTAAGCCTGTCTCAAAATGAAAAATGAAAAGGTCTGGGGATGTGACTCAGGGGTTGAAAGAAAGAAAAAAAAGAAGCTGAAATTGACACTAGAGCCACTCAAGCAAGTCAGCCATGATGGAAACGCCCACTTTGTGTGTGGGGGTGGTTTTGGGGATTGAGCCCAGGGCCTTGGGCATGTGAGGCAAGCACTCTACCAGCTGAGCTGTATCCCCACTTTTGCTGCTAGAGAAAATGAGGCCAGCAAGCTCAGTGGGTGATGGAGGACCACAGGGGAAGAAGGGAAGGAAGCAGGTCCCCAGGGTCCAGTCCCGTACCCACAGAGTCCAGACAACAAGATGGATGAGTGAACCGGGCACAGAATGTCGAAGACCACGTGACTCTTCCTGGCCACCTTGTTTTCCTACTTTTGCGAGACATGGAACTTATAAATACTTCTCTGTAGTATAGCAGATAGCAACTGATATTCAGTCGCAATGTCAGGAAGACCGCAGGGAAGAACAGGGACGATGGCCACCTGGAATGCAATTGTCCACCTAAAGGGACTGGCTAGATCGGCTCCACCTGCTACCACACCATACCAGATTATCCAATTTTCTTTTTCATTTATTTATTGTGCACTGCTGGGGACTGAGCCCGGGATCTTACACATGCTAGACAAGCACTCAACCACTGAGCTTCATCCCAACCCTTTTTATTTTTTGAGACTAGTTCTCGCTAAGTTGCCCAGGCTGACCTAATACCATCCTCCTGCTTCAGGGTTCTGAAAAACTGGGATTACAGGTATGCACTTACGTCCCTAGGCTAAAGTGACTCCATTTAGAAATTCAGCACCTGCCCACCCAGGCATGACCTTCCCATTAGGCCTACCCTGAAGGAGTCCTTAACTACCAAAACCACAGATAAGACATCAAGTAACAATCACAGCACAGACGGGTTATTTTTTAACTACTCCACTGTATTTGACTACAGAATTAAAAAGTTTTTTTCTAGCAGGCTGCTGCGCCTTACAGAAGGGCAGCCTGGCAGATATTCTGTCAATAAACCTTTGCTTGAACTCAGAGCTGTCTCTCTTGTGGATATTTGTGCCAGATACCCTAACATGCACCACTGGCTGAAATGTCACTTTTTTTTTTTTTTTGGTACTGGGGATTGAACCCAGGGGAGCTTAACTACTGAGCCACACCATGTCCCCAGCTCTCTTTATCTTTTTTATTTTAAGAAAGGATCTCACCAACTTCTTAGGGCCTTACATGTTGCTAAGGCTGAACTTGTGATCCTTCTGCCTTATCCTCCCGAGTCACTGGGATTATAGGCTATGTGCCACTGCACCTGGCTAAAATATCCTAATTTAATTACATTTTTAAATTTGCCTCTAGAGTAAAGGAACACAGTGAATTTGTATATATTGATCAGCTATTTCAGCATCCTTGCTATATCTTATCCTTTGTGATTCTTATATCTTTTTCTTCTCTTATTGCTCTGGCCAGGCCTCCAATGCTATGTTGGAATAATGATAGAAGGCATCCTTGGAGGCTGGGGCTGTAGCTCAGTGGTAGAGCGCTTGCCTAGCATGCGTGAGGCACTGGGTTTGATCCTCAGCACCAAATAAATAAACTAAATAAACAAATAAAGGTATTGTGTCCATCTACAACTAGAAAGAAATTACAAAAACAAAAACAAACCCATGGGGGGGAAAAGGCATCCTTGTCTTATTCCTGACACAGAAGAAATGTATCTTACATTTTGCCATTGCAGTATGTATTTTTTAAAAATGTTTTGTTTTAGTTGTAGTTGGACAGAATACCTTTATTTTATTTCTATGTGGTGCTGAGGATCGAACCCAGTGCCCTGCACGTGCTAGGTGAGTGCTCTACCACTGAGCCACAACCCCAGCCTGTAGTATATTTTTAACTTCATAATTTTTATTAATTTATTTTCATAGTGCTGGTGACTCAACACTGTGACTCAACACAGTATGCTAAGCAAGTGCTCTACCACTGACCTACACTCCCAATCCAAATTTCATTATTTTTAAGTGTAAGCTCACTTTTTTTCAAAGATCATAAATGCCAATTTGTCTGTTGGCTGGATTCAATCCACGAGTTGCCAATTTGTGGTCTCTGCTTTGTTTGGATTATTTCCCTGAGTTATAACATCTGAAGGATATGGAAAATCCCCAGAGGAAAAGGGGAATAACAACCTTCAGGAGAAAAGAACGGTGTGACATGGGAGGTGTGGGAGGGGGGAGGCAAACAGCAGGCCCTGGGCTCTGGAGTTTCACCCTTTCCCAGCCACAGTGGTTATGGAACTTTTGCAACTGTTTCCCTGACTTAGGCTTTGAACTTGTGCAACTGTTCCCCCTGACTGCCCAACCCACAAACTTTGCAAATGATTCAAATCTTATTATGAAATAATAAACATTATAAAAATAAATATATAAACATTATAAAAATCCCAGACATTTTTCTCACCTGAGAATGTGCCATTCTTCTGCTTAATAAAGAAAGCTTGCTGATTCATTGAGGTCTGTTCCCCATTTGGCTTTCAACATCAATCTCATTGGGAAGGTATGATTATTCTTTTTAGGGACATGAGGAGACTGAGACTCAGAGGTGAAATGACCTGCCACAGCCAAAAAGCTTGGAAGCAGCAGAATCAGCTCAACCTGATGCCACAGTCTGTGCTCTTTCTGAAGTGAGAGAGGGACCCTGGACCCCTTAGGCCACCTTCTCTTCACACTCTGCCTGGCTCAACTTCTTGGGGCCCTCCAAGGGGGCTCTGGAATCCCTGTCATCAATTCTCTGTGACCCTACCCAAAGGCCTCCTCATCTCTGGGTCTCAGCTTCCCCATCTGTTAACCTAGGAAGGACTCAGTAGGGGAGCCCCAATACTGTCCCAGCCCCGTCCCCTCATCCATTTCTTCATCTGTGAAATATCAGACCTGACCTTGTTATTTCCCTTATTCTGTGGCCTGCTTCTGCAGCGTACCTGCTGTGATACTTGGACTGCTTAACCTTGACGCACCTGTTACCTCATCTTGGCTGCAAAATGGGGTTAAAAGCAGTACCTACCTTGGTGTTATGGCTCAGTGGCAGAGCGCTTGCCTAGCATGTAGAGGCCCTGGGTTCCAGCCCCAGGACTAAGAAAAAAAAAAAGTAATACACGCCTCGAAGTTCTTGGAATAATACCAGCCCTGTGATAAGTGTCTAGTAAGTGTTAGTTTTCATGATCACTAGTAAGTGTGTGTATGTGTACGCTGACAGGAAGAAGTTGTACTAGAATAGAGAAATGGTTCTATTAATGTCATTGCTCCAAATTAAAACCCTGTTTGCTGCGACCCATGACTCCTGCATTATAGAGAGTGAAGTCCAAATTTCTTAACCCACATCCAAGGCTCTCCTTCGCCATCTACCCATGTTTCAAAGAGCGAAGCAGCCAGGAGCCCGGTGTGGAGGCAAGTCTCCTGGTTCTAACCCCAGCTCTGCAGCTCACTATCTACGTGAGCTTGGGTGAGGAACTTTGTCTCTCTGGGCCTCCGTTTCTCAACTGTAAAATGTGGAAAGTAACAGCACTCACCTGATAGGCTGAGGCAATGCGAAGTAAAAATAGCTTAGCCAGCAGGGAGACAGCTTAAAGAACCGGCAATTAGTGGCTGGGGATATAGCTCAGTTGATAGAGAGCTTGCCTTGCATGCACAGGGCCTGAGGTTCAATCCCCAGCACCACCAAATAAATAAATAAAATAATAATAACTAAAAAAATACATACATATATAATTATCCCTGCCCCCATCCAAGTCTCTGGTCAGCCCCAGCCCTCAAGGTCTTGGCTCGCGCCTTGCTCTTCCCCATCTGTCCATCCAGCAGAGCATCCTCTGCAAAGGGCCCAGCTCAGATATCGCCGCCTCTGAAACTTACTGGTCCCTCCTCTGGCCTCTTGCAGGCTGAAATGCTCACAGCCCTCACCATCAGCTTTGTCCCCGCTGACACACCGTGCCCTTCCTGCCTAAGGATGCCAAAAGTGGGGCCTGGCTCTGAGCTGCAGCCCTGGATGCCAACACTGAGGCCTGAGGGACGCGCTGGTCTCTGAGGAAACTCAGTGTCTGCCCTGGCCGCCCTCCAAACTCAGCTTCCTCGCCTGTAACAAAGGCAAAGTGGCCCAGGGGCCCTGAAGATACATGGGAAACCTGGTCAAGGCCCCTTTCCTCCCTCCTGTCTCGCACCTGTACTAGCTGGGGAGGGAAGAAGAGGGACAGGAGAGGCTGGCGTTGCTGGCTATGCAGGGGTCCGCTCAGGATGGGCTCCTGGCTCTGGGCAGAATTCCTGGTTCTGAAAGGCTGGGGCGAGGCCCGGGATCCTGAATTTTTCTCAAGCAGGCATAAGCCTTCCCCGGAGTGTGTGCCCAGCTCAGGCTCTGTAACAACCATCCCAGGAGCACACACACTCCTCCCTCATAACCTCACAGTGGCTGCAATGTGCCAGCTTCCCAGCCCCAAGGCTTTGGAGGAGAAGACTGTCACCTAGGGGCTAAGAAAGGAACTGCCAGGCTCGGGTCTGAGCCATTTGGACACATATGATAGAAACATTTATTGAGTACTTTCCCAGCGAGGGCACCATACCAGCCGATCTGCACATTTCACCATACTGAACCCCCAAACCAACCCCAGGAGGTAGGACCATCACAAGCCCACTGTGAAGTGACTTTACTGAGGTCACAAAGTAAGTGCTTGGCAGCTCTTGGATTTGAAGCCAGATCTGGCTCACAGCTGCCATCTACCCGCCATACTGAAGTGCCTCCTAAATGCCTACCTCACAGTTTTCTGGGGACACTGTGAGGAACCCTAAGGGAAAAGGTCCACTAGGTAAGGACTCTGACCATGTCCAGTCTCCTGAAGAGAAGCTTGATTAGAGGCCATCCCAGGCGGCTGGAGAAGGGTGGCTGGGGCCACCCTGTCTGCCTTGGGGGTGGTCTCACCACCAGCCTAGCTTAGCCAGGCCCGGGCTTCTCGGGCTCCGGCCTTCTCTCTTGCCATTTGCTCTGTCCTGGGGATGAATCCCAGGATGCTGCAGGGCCTTCCAGCAGACTGGGGGCATAGAAGGGCAGCCAGGGGCCCAGGCTTACATTCCAAAAGGGCTTTTGCCACGGCTCACTTCCCCTGGAAGGATCTCTGGTCCTCCTGGGCCGCGGGGCCCACAGGCATCAGGTTGGCCTGTGGGAGCAGGAGCTCCACCTCACTCCGAGGCCTGGATGTAGACAGGTACCGCGAGCATGGCACACGAGCCCTCGGCCCCCGCCTGCAGCTCTGCCAGTGCCAGGTTGGAGCCCAGCCCCTCAGCGTGGCCTGGCACTACCAGCTCAGGGTCCCCGCCCACAGCGCCACCCACTACGATGGACAGCACGGCATCCTGCTCCGAGAAGGGTGGCTTGCCGGGGGCAGCCTCGGGCACTGGCCCGGCCCCTGCATCCTTCAGTTCCTCTAGTCCCAGTGGGTCCTGCAAGGGGGCCACCACCTTGTGCCCGCCACCGCTGCTGCTGCCGCTGCTGCTGCGGGGAGCTGCCCTCCTCCGGGGTGGCCGCCGGGTTTGCAGGTCCTTGTCCTTTGGGGGGCCAAGGCGGCAGCGGTGATCCTTGAGGTACTTGTGGCGGGAAAAGCCCTTGGCACAGCCGGTGCAGCGGAACTTGTAGTTGCCTGTGTGAGCACGCTGGTGCTCGGCGAGGTGGGCACGACGGCTGAAGGACTTGCTGCACAGGCCGCATTTGTGCAGCTTCATGCCTGAGGGGGTAGAGGCAAGTCAGTTTGAGGAAGCAGACCCTCGCCCTGCAGGGGTGCTTCGCCCAGGGAATGACACTCAGTGTCCTGCCTACTGGCCCTGGCTTCCTCCACTCTCCTCTCCCACCTCCTCCCAGCTAGTCACTCTTGCCAGCCATATACTTCCTTAATGCAGTAAGCTGGCTGCTGCCCCTGGGCCTTTGCACTTGCCATTTCCTCCGCATGGACCAGTCCACTTAATCCTTAAATCTTGGTAAACTTTGCAGGTCACCATGATCTCTCACCTGGATGACAGAGGCAGCTACCTCCTCTGGTCTGCCTACCTCACTACAGGGAGCTAGAAATGTCTTTGCAAAACACAAACGAGCAAGGTGTTCCCTGTTCCAAACCTCCCACTGATTCCCTATGTTCCCTAAAAAGCACGCTGCTGTCTGGCAGCCCCCTCACCTCTCGGCCCCATCTCCTGTCTCCAACCAGGCCCTGTGCACGGCCTCCCACCCCCTTCTCCCTCACTGTGAGGTCAGCTCTGTTGCCCCCTCTCCCAAAGAGCCATTTCCTGGCTCTTCTCATCCTTCGGGACTCGGCTCCCAGGGGCCTCCCTCATCCCCACACCCTTCACTCTCCGCCCTGTTTCCCTCCTCCCTGCACCCAGTGTGCTTGCTGCTTTGTTTATTTGCTCACTGTATACTTTTGGTCTCCCCACTAACTGGGAAGTTTCCCAAGAGGGCTGGGTGGGTTCTGCCTGGCTGATGCCCTATGCCACCCACGCCTGAGCCAGGGTCAGGCCTCGAGTCACTCCTGAATGAATCCCTGGTGTCCACATCACCCTCAAGTCAACCTAGCTCCTGCTCACCCTGGTCCATGCACACGCCCTTGGTCGCCGCAGCCTTCTTGGGATGGAGGCTCAGAGAGGCAGTGACTTGCCTGAAGCCACCCAGCAGCAAAGTGACAGCCCTGATTCAAACCCAGATCCTGCCTCAACTCCTTCAACTACTCTCAGTTTTCAGGGTTTCTTTAGCCACTGGGTCCTGTCTGTGGCCAGTGGTTCTCACCCAGGGGTGACTCATCCCATTCCCAGGAGACTCTTGGCCATGCCTAGAGACACAGCTGATAGTCACACTACTGGGGGAAAGCCATTGACACCAAGTGGACAGACACCTATCAGGGCACAAGACAACCTCCCACGACAAAGAATTACCCAGCCCACGGTGTCAAGGCTGCCAGGATGAAACATCCTCTTCAAGACTAAGCAGTGGGTGGAACCCCAGAGAGCTGCTCTAGGGAGCCCCTGGGAAACGAGGAGTGGTTTGAAGACCCTGCCCAGCCAAGGAGCCTCCCAGCCACATCCTGGACCACACCTGATCCACACTCCTCACACCGGGCACCACTCCAATTCAAATGTCCCTTCTCAGGCTGGCCTCCCCCTCAGACTGGGGGGCTGTGAGATTCGTCTGTACCCCTCAGATTCCGAGCACAGACTGGCTTCCAGCCCACGAGGGCAAGTCCGTTGGCTGGACTCCACCAGGCAGGGACAGTTGGCCTCGCGGGTGTGTCTGCTTTTCCTCCTCCTGCCGTCGTCACCCAGGGCTTGGGCTGAACCGCCCGCGTGGCAGGCCGTGGGTCCCTTACCTGAGTGGGACAGGATGTGAGCCTTCAGCTTGTCTGGCCGGTTGAACTCTTTACTGCAGCCCGTGTGCGTCCTGGAACCCACAGCCATGAGTCAGGGGAGCGCAGCAAGCTTGGAGCCCTCTTGCTGGCCCCCCAGTGGCCCTGGACAGGACGGAGGGACACCCTTTCGCCCTAAGGGCTGGGAAAGGAAGCAGAGTGGGGAGTGAGCAGGACAGGCCCGAGGAGAGAGGCCTTCTGCCCGCAGGCCTGGCATCTTTGGGTCCAGCCCTCCCTGTGGGGACTCCACACTCCGCCACCACCTGCCGCAGCTCTACTCACGAGAAGGGGCATTTGTATTTCTTGAAGGGCTCGTGGATCAGCATGTGCCTCTTCAGCTTGTCCTTGCGGTTGAAGGCGGACTCGCACACGGGGCATTTGTAGGGCTTCTCACCTGCAGGAGACACCCCGCCAGAGTGAGGGTCCCAGGGCTCCCCACTGAGCCTCTCAGGGCGGCAGCTCCGCCACGGAGGTGGGCTGGGAAAAACAACTTCTCATTTCTCGATTTTGTTTTGCCAGGGAGAAGAGAGGACTCTTTTATTTATTTTTTTTAAGATGGGGTCTCGCTGCATTGCCCAGATGCCTCTGAACTCCTGGGCTCAAGGGCTCCTCCGAGGGACTATTTTAGACAGGCTGGTGGGAGACGCGCCTCCGGTACAGCAACTCATGAAGAGAGACCCCGGGACAGGGAGCTGCCAAGGAAACGCAGGCAAGGGTCCAGGCAAGAGGGAAAGCAGAAGCATGCTGGGGTTCCTGAGGAGCCCCGGGAGGCCCGCATGGGGAGGAAGGGGCATGGGTGAGGTCACCAGGCAGCTGGCCTCATGGGAGGATCTGGGCGGCTGAGGTCGGACCGTGGCTTGCATTCTGAGCCGGATGAGAAGCCAGCAGAGGGTCGGAGCAGAGGAGGGACAGGCCCCTCTGGCTGCGTTTGGAGAGCAGACTCGGGGGAGTCGGGGTGCAGGCTGGGTGGAGGCTGGGCAACAGGGAAGCGGCAGAGGACAGGCCAGGTCGGGGAAGTGGGGTCAGCAGCCCTCACCAGGGGATTGGCCATGCATGAGAGGAAGAGAACGTCCAGCATGAATCTAAGGTGTGCCTGAGTCACGGTGGATGGTCACAGCGTCAAAGCCATCGGGTCCACAATGGAGAGGGAGACTCACACTTTATCCAATCAAATCCCTGAGGTAAGGACTACTATTGTCCCTGTGTTACAGCTGGGAAAGAGAAGGTCAGGGTGACCAGCCCACAGTCCACACTCTGGCTGGGCAGCTAGGATTCCAGCCCAGCGGTGCGATCCAGAGCCCACCTGAGCTGCCCCAGGTCTTCCTGCTGCTAAGCTGAGCCTATCTGGCAGTGGAGGGGTGTGTCTCACCTGATGGCTGCAGAGCCCTCAGGACACCAAGGGAGGTGCCTACAAAGCTCATGTGCGGTCACAAGCTGCTCTTTGGAAAGGGCTATTCCGGGGCTGATTTGATTTTCTGCCCTTGTGTCCTCTCTGTCCTCCCGCAGAAGGAACAGTGCTTTGGAAAAACTTCAATGCAAGTGCTTACGGGAATTCTGGTGCTTACTATGGAATGGTCTGCAGCCAGCAGGGTGTGCAGTGGCGCACGCATGCCTGTGATCCCAGCGCTCAGGAGGCTGAGGCAGAGGGATTGTGAGTTCAAAGCCAGCCCAGGAAAAGCAAGGCCCTAAGAAACTCAGTGAGACCCTGTCTCTAAATAAAATACAAAATAGGGCTGGGGATGGGGATCAGTGGTTAAGTGCCCCTGAGCTCAATCCCCAGTACCAAAAAATAAAAAATAAAAAAAGACTAAGGTCAATCTGTGTTCTGTTCTCTCATCTGGAAAGATCCCTTAGCCAAAGTGGCAGAGGAAAACTATAAGGTAGTTTAACAAAGTCACTTTCTTGTTAGGAAAAAGTATAATCCTTATGCCTCATAAAACCCCAGGGGAAGCTGGGTACAGTGGTGCACACCTGTAACCCAGCTAACACCGAGGCTGAGGCCAGCTTGGGCAATTTAGTGAAATTCTGCCGCGACAGGTGACTAAATCAGTCAGGGTCACTCCAGGTGAACTGGGTTGGCACTGAATAATCACACAGAGACAGAGAAAATACCTTTTTCTTGGGGTTCAGTGAGGGCTCCTTGGCCCCAGCTCCCACAAGGGAAGCAAGAGAGGCAGACAGAAGAGCGCCTGCCGGTGGCCGTGTTTACTGAGGGGAAGAAAGTTCCACCCACATGAGGCCAGGGATTGGGTTTCAGTCTCACTGGGTGACGCCCACTCCCAGAGCTTCATTCCTCTGCCAATTTTGAGATCCACCTGTTTCTGTGTGCAGGGGAAACCAGTGGATGTGCGCGCTCAAGGCTAAGGGTGCTCAGCTCCTATGTGGCAGCTCCTGACAAAATCTTGTCTCAAAATAAAAAATAAAAAAGGCTGGGAATGTGGCTCAGTGTTAAGTACCCCTGGGTCCAATCCTGAGGACGAAACAACAACAACAACAAAAATTACAAAGCTTAAGACTTTCCTTTTTTATTAAAGGTAAAATATATATAACATAAAATTTACCATCTTAGCCATCTTTCAGTATTCATGTCGTTCAGTGGCATTAAGCACATGTGCACTGTCGTGCAGCCATCAAGACCATCCATCTCCAGAACTTTTTCCATCATCCCAAGAAGAAACTCAGTACTGCACTTACATTTTATTTTTATTTTTTTATTTTTATTGATACTGGGGATTGAACCCAGGGCATTTTACCATGGAGCTACACCCCCAGCCCTTTTTTTTACTTTTACTTTTTTTAATTTTTGAGACAGGATCTTGCTAAATTGTTGAGGCTGGCCTCCAACATATGATCTTCCTGCCTAAGTGGGGAGTCCCTGGGATTACAGGCATGTGTGACCACACCCAGCCTGCACATACGTTTTAATCTAGCACTTTCTTTTTTTTAATATTTATTTTTTAGCTGTAGTTGGACACAATACCTTTATTTTATTTATTTACACGTGGTGCTGAGGATCGAACCCAGGGTCTCGCACGTGCTAGGTGAGCACTCTACCGCTGAGCCACAACCCCAGCCCTTAATTTAGCACTTTCACTGCTGGGAATATATGCTACCGATCTATACCTGAAGTTTGCCAAAGGACCCACATAGCATCGTGTGAACCTTACAAACTAACAGCTGAAAAATAACTGAAGGGCCTGCCCATTGTTCTGCTCGACAAAGGAATACTATACAACTATGAAGACAGAGTTGCTATTCAAGAACATCTTCAGCTATACTGACAAGGAATTCTGACACAGAATTCCAAATTATATTCTATGTTTACCTACATAAAAGTAAGCAAGTATGTTGTACAGATATAAAATAAAACCAGGGCAGCCCCTACTAGGTCCTCTCTCACCCTGTGAGAACTCTGGCTCTTTTCTTCTCACTTGAATAAATCCTATTATTTTATACTGGAATGAATGAGTGAATAAATAAATAAATAAATAAATAAATAAATAAATTAAATAAAACAAAACTAGATTGACCCAAACTAGACAGTAATAGCAGTTAATTTTAGGGAGGGGATTAGGAGTATCTTACAAACTCCCAAGTAGCTGGGACTACAGGTACATGCTGCCATGCCCAGTTAGTAGTTATTTTAAAAATTGAACACAATTGAAAATATTGCTTTGTGAAACTTTGGTTTCAACATATCCTATGTGCTACGTATATCCTGGGTTGTGATATAAAATATGCTTTACTAAAAAGAATTTGAAAACTGGATTGTCCATGTAATAGAGCACTAGCCTAGCAAGCGCAAGGCCCTGGGGACCGTGGGGGGAAAATAACATTTAAAGATTTAAAAAAAAAAAAAAATCAATGTCTCAACTGAGGAGAGAGGGTTTCGCCCAGATTTGGTGGGAATTTTGCTCAAGAGTCCCGGAGCAGTCTACAGGAGCCGACTCTCGGGGCAGAGCCAAGGTCCCTCCCACCAGCCTCTAGGAGCTTCTCCCTGCTCTAATGCTAGTGGTGACCCAGGGTTCATGAGCGAGAGCTGGTGGCCTGGAGGCGGGCGCAGGGCGGGAGGAGGGGCGGGGCCTGGGTAGGAGTGGGCGGGGCGAGGTACCCACCTGAGTGGATGTGAGCGTGCAGCTTGAGGTAGTGCTCCCTCCGGAAGAACTTCTTGCACACCTGGCACTTGAACCTGCCTCCGCTGCCATGCGTGGGCAGGTGGCGCCGCAGATAGCGTTCACAAGGGAACACCTGGAGGCAGAGGGCTCGGCTTCAGTGCTGCCTCCCCAGGTCCCCTCCCGCGCACCTTCAGAGCTCACGAGCCCCTCGTGTCCACCCCCAATGGAGATACCCTTCCTTCTGCTCACCTGAGACCAGGGCCCGCAGCGGCAGACCCAGCCCTCAGCACCTTGTGGCTTCTCTACTCACCCAGGAGACAAGCCCAAAATGCACCTTCTCTGAGTTTCTGCCCAGGCTGTTCTTCCTACCCACAGGGCCTTTCTCTCTCAGTCTCACAAACTCCTACTCATCCTTCAAGACCCAACTCAGATGCCAGAGCCGCTGTAAAGCCTTCCCTGAATTCCTGGTGCCAAGCTAGACAAAGAAGATCCTGCCTCCCGGTGATCACTCACGTTTTAAAATCAGCATTTAACCCACTGAACTAGGATCCCTGGCTTACATGGGGACTCTAGGAGGGCAGAGAGGGACTTTCATTCCTCAGCAAAGAGCCCAGGTCAAACGACTGTCGGGTAAAGGAATGAACAGGAAGGTAATAAAGACCCAGAAAACACAGAAACCCAGACCTTTCCCTGTAGACAGAGGAAAGGCTTCACTCACTCACTCACTCACTCACTGGGTTAAGAGAAGCGGTCAAGGGCACAGACACAGCGCCCCACCCTCATGAGCCCCATCACTTCCTAGCTAGGTGGCCTTTCCGGGTCTTGTTTCCCCCTGTAAAACGGGGACAGAAAGAGTATATCTGCCCTCCAGTTCTATAATGGCACCTGGAAGGTGCTTTTTTCTCGATTCATGATACTTTTTGCTTAGACCACAAATTCTGAAGTTAGGTATGTAATTAGAAACATCTAGAACAAGGCTAAAGTGGAGAGAAAAAAAAAAAAAAGGCTGTCCTGGAAAATCTGCATGTAAGGTTGTCTCTCATGAGTAGAACCTGGTGACGGCAACCCAGGGGAGCAATCAGCAAACCCAGATGGCAGGAAGCCCCACAGGGCCAACGGCCCAGTTCCTTGGAGAGATAAATTAAAAGGGGGAATAAAAAAGGAGGCGCTGGGGCAGGGGCGAGGGTTAACAGAAAAGCTTCTGTTGTGTGGATAACTGCAATATAGGGACTGATTCAAATCAACCATGACACTTGAGCCAGGGACAATGGAAACACTTCCTGGATGTCTGATGGCATAGGAGCAGGTTTTAGGAAGGACTTTCAGAGTCACCAACAAGAAGGTCCAATGATGACGACAGGATGGTACATTGGGAAGCTGGAGGCCACACTCAGATGCCTGTCGGCCCCCTGCACCCACTGGCACTTCCCGAGGTGGAGGAGAGACAGAAAGAGCAAGACATATACCCGCCACCTCCCTTGTCACCACCCGTAGGGCCAGCACTGGGGGGGAGGGGCAGCACCCACCTTCTGGCAGTGCGGGCAGGGGAAGTTGTGAGTGGCAGTCTGCAGGTGGTGCTCCAGGGCCTCGGGAGTGGAGTACTTGTTGACACATTTGACACACCTGAGTGGGGAGGAGCCGCAAAGGTGAGAGCAGCTGGGCAGGCGCAGGTCTGTCCCCAATGCCCCAGGCCATCGTCCCTCCTGCCCCAGGCCATCGTTAGGAGGCAAGGGCCTGAGTTTCCCTGATTCTCAATCCACTCCTCTCTCCTGCCACTGCCTCCATCCTCCACCCAGCTGCTGCCACCACCTGCTGGGACATGCACAGTAGCCTCTGGTTCAAGTTCCTGTCCCCAACCTGTCCCTGAACATCCATTTAGAGGGCAGCCAGAGGGAGCCTTTAAAAATAAAAATCAAGGGCTGGAGTGGCAGAGCGCTCGCCTAGCATGTGTGAGGCATTGGGCTCCATCCTCAGCACCACATAAATAAATAAAATAAGGGCATTATGTCCATCTACAACTAAAACAAATATTAAAAATAAAAAAACAAAAACAACAAAAATCAAGCCAGCCATGGTGAAGAACACCTATAATTCCAGCTACTTGGGAGGCTGAGGCAAGTTTGAGGCCAGCCTCGACAACTTAGTGAGACACTGTCTTAAAATAAAAAATAAAAAGGGCTGGGGTATAGTTCAGTGGTACAGCACACTTGCATTCGGTCCCTAGCATGACAAAGGAAATCAATCAATCAATCAATCAGTCAGGGCTCTGTGTAGCTCGGTGGTGGAGCGCTTGCCTAGCGTGCACAAGGCCCTGGGTTCCATCCCCAGCACTGCACACACATACACAAATCAACAAATAATTAAAAAATGAAAGTGAGAGTGTCCCCCAGTTGCTTGCACTTTGTTGCACACCACGGCCTATGAGGCCCTACGGTCTGACCCACTCCTACCCCTCAGACTTCTTCCCCTACTCCCTACCCAAACCGCTCTGTCCCAGCACCCTGGCCTCCTTGATGAACCTTGCACACAGCAAGATCATTCCTGCCTCAGGACCTTTACACTTGCTGTTCCAGTTCAAATGTCACCTCCTTGGAGAAGCACTCCTTGACCATTCTGTCTCAAGTTGCCCCCCACAGTCTACCCCAGGCACCCCCTGTTATGTCACCCAGCTTATTTTCTCCTTAGCACTAATTACTAGGAATTATTTTATTTGCTTGCTTGGTTATGAACAGTCTCCTCCCCTACACATGGTCCCTAACAATGGAACTACACCTTTCCTATTCACAGCTTGCTCAGGGTACCAGAGAGAATCTGTCATATGCAAGAGCCACACAAAGGGACGCAGGTCCAGCTCCTTCCTGCCTGATGCTCTAGGTTTCCTCACTTGTGACATGGCCCTGCCTGATGGTCATTCTAAGATTGCCACAGAGTCGAAGGACACAACTGTGCCAAGTGGCTCATAACTGAAAAGTGTGGTATACACAGCTCCTGTGGCTGACATGCCCCTGGAACAGCATGTTCAGGGACTGTGGTATAGCCTATGTTTAGCCTGTGCTTAGCATGTGCAAGGCCTGGGTTCAATCCCCAGCACCACAAGGAGAAAAACGGAACAGCACTTGTAGGTCCTGAGCCACTCTGAAGGAATAAGACCACCATCTCCCACCACAAAGACATTCACCAGCCAATGGACCCTTATATAATGAGATACCTGTGGGGCATGTCACAGGTGAGCAGGCAAATCATGCCAAAACAGAAACACATGAGCCCTGTGGTCCTTACACTAGTGTCACCCACGGGAAGCCCCAGAAAGATAGCACCCATGGTGGATCTAGGGGACCCCTCAGACCACACTCTGAAAACCACACACAAAGTTCTCCAGACAGCAAGAGAGGGAGGGGGGTAGACTGGAGGGAGATACCAGGGGAGCAGAGACCCAACAAGCTGGTGAGGGGACAGGACAAAACCTCAAGTCTGGGGCCGGGGGAGATCAGCAAAAGCCATGAAAATCAAAACTCCCTGCCAGAAATACCTCCTTCACTAAGTCATCCAAGGCAGCACAACAAGTTATGGGACACATGATCATTACATGCCTCCTGAGATGGTGCCCAGAGAGGGACAGTGTCACTAGTGATGTTCCTGCCAAAAGTACACATCCTGGATATAATAGCAAGGTAAAATCAGGCAGACCCAAACAAAGGCATTCTACAAAACAACTCAACGACACTCTAAAAATATCAAGGTCAGGCTGGGCACGGTGGTGCATGCCTGTAATCCCAGTGGCTCTGGAGGCTGAGGCAGGAGGATCATGAGTTCAAAGCCAGCCTCAGCAAAAGCGAGGAGCTAATCAACTCAGTGAGACTCTGCCTCTAAATAAATACAAAATAGGTCTGTGGATGTGGCTCAGTGGTCGAGTGTCCTTGAGTTCAATCCCTGGTACCCCCCCCAAAAAAAAAAACCTAGGTCAGAGCCAGGTGTGGTGACACACACCTGTAATCCCCAAAACTTGGAAGACTGAGGAATGAGGATCACAAGTTCAAGGCCAGACTGGGCAACTTATTGAGGTCTCATCTCTAGATCAACAACAGGAAGGGCCGGGGATGTGGCTCGGTGGTTAAGCACTCCTCGGCTCAATCCCTGTTCTTTCTTTCTTTCTCTCTCAAACACACACATACACACACACACACACTCAAGGTCAGGCTGGAAATGTTGCTTAGCACAAGAGCACTTGCCCACGTGCCCAAGGCCCTAGGTTCACTTCTAGTTCTTCAAGGTCATGAAAAGCAAAGAGAGGATGAAACTGTTCCAGCTTCAAGGAGGTGAAAGAGGCATGACAATGAAGGTGAGGTGTGATCCCAGGCTGGACCCTGGGCCAGAAAAAATGTGTGTGCTTTTCTTTTTTCTTTTATTTTATAAAGGATATTAATAGAACAATTTGGAAGTTTTGAATAAGGCCTGAAGATGAGCTAATAGAATTATACTGATTTTTTTTTTTTTTTTTTTTTTTTTTTTT